ATTCTACGTTAAATAAGTTTTGTGTTAAATACATTCTACGTTAAATAAGTTTTGTGTTAAATAAGTTCTATGTTAAATAAGTTCTTCTTTTTTTTTTTTTTTTGGATGCTGGAGCTAAATTTAAGTTTTGTGTAAAATAAAGTAAATCTTGTATCCTCATGAAAAATTCGTTATATTAGAACAAGTGAATTTTGAAATTATCATTTGTATCCAATTAGGCGTAAGTTTTATAATAGATAGATAATCTCCATAATCTTCTTAAAGCTGAATTTTTACAACAGATCAAGTGAGAATGGAAATTAAACTAAAAGTGGTCACAAAATAAGAAAGATATAGACGTAATCAATATAATTTTTTACTCTATAGCTGGAGATATGTGGCCCCCTTTCAGAAGCTCGTCCGATACCAAATTAACTATGTTTGTGACTGATATATGCAGGTAAATATATAGGATAGGTTTTATATGTTAACCTATTCTTCTTATGTATATCGAGTATACTTCACAATTGGGTAAAAATTGTAAAACATGGAACAACATATATATTTTTTTCAAATGTTATTAGAATTCAGAAATTTTGTATTCTGTTTAAAGGTCAGTTACTTTAAAGTTTCATGAAGAGACTCACGTTAAGGGCGTGCAAGCGTACAGCTACTTAGCTGAAAAAACTATGTTAGGCAATGAAGAAGACGACTCGTCCAACAACTGTTTCTGTTTATCTGATGCCACCACGTGTCTGCCTAGTGGCGGCCTCAATCTTTCTTCTTGTCAGTTCAGTAAGTAATGAGACTCGAGTTAATACATCCAAATCATGTTTCTTGTAACATTTAAAACCTAAGATACTATATCTAGAAGATGTAGTAATTGATACAGAGACTTAGATACTACAAATGTAAGGTGGAGTATTTTGGCTGAGGCCTATATTCTGTAACTTTAAGTTGTAGTATTTATGCTGAGGCCTATATTCTGTAACTCTAAGTTGTAGTATTTAGGCTGAGGCCTATATTCTGTAACTCTAAGTTGTAGTAATTTATACAGAGACCTAGATACTATAACTGTGAGCTGTAGTAATTTATACTGAGACCTAGATACTATAACTGTGAGCTGTAGTAATTTATACAGAGATCTATGCTATAATTGTGAGCTGTAGTAATTTATACAGAGACCTAGATACTATAACTGTGAGCTGTAGTAATTTATACAGAGACCTAGATACTATAACTGTGAGCTGTAGTAATTTATAAAGAGACCTAGATGCTATAACTGTGAGCTGTAGTAATTTATAAAGAGACCTAGATGCTATAATTGTGAGCTGTAGTAATTTATACAGAGACCTAGATACTATAACTGTGAGCTGTAGTAACTTATACAGAGACCTAGATACTATAACTGTGATCTGTAGGAACTTATACAGAGACCTAAATACTATAACTGTGAGCTGTAGTAAT